GCATCGGGGCCCGCAGACACTGTCCTGGAGCACCCACAAGCTGGCACAAGGCTCGCCAAAGCAAACAAATGAGTCCACGCTAAACCAGCACAAAAATGTGGGCTCAACACACATTATTGAACTGTACGGTAATGCACCCGGGAGTTGCTAGCCTCCACCAGGAGCAGACAGCAGAGGTTAGTCATGCTGCATGGGGAAGGGTTTTCCCCCCACTTCTATTTCTATGCCACCCCCTAATAAAGGGAAATAAAGGGATGGAAGAGTCACCAAAGAAATGGCACGTGGTAATCTCTTGCTCCATGCTTACACTTGTGGCAGAGATTACTGCTGGCCCTTCATCTCCAGGACAGAGACCTGGCAAGAGCTAAGAGAATGAAACTAATTGAGACAGGCAAGCAGGAGCTCTCTCCGTAACAGAAGTCAAGCTCAGACACTGTTAGCTGTCACTTCAGGTCCTGACGTCAGATTGGGGTCGAATTGTCAGTGAAGCGCCCTGGTTAGCTGGTGTAGGCCTGACCAGCATAGTAGACATGAAGGTCTGGTGGGTCTTCATACCTTCCAATCCCTCAGACTAGTCGAGAGGTCAGAGCATCCCTGGATATCCCCAGAGAGCCCCGGCTGCCTGTGGGTGCTGGGGGGACAGCAGCCAGGTGGGGAGGGTGGCACAAAGCGACTGCTGTCACCGGGGGATCTGCCTGGGTTCCCTTGTAATGCTGGGGGCCCACGTGGGCAAAACAGAGAGAAAGCGTTAATGTTTATAACGTTACTTTTCTGCAATCAGCATGCTTAAATGAGTCATGCTCTCGGGTGACATTAGCTGTGACCCAGGGCTGCGCTGGCACACAGATGCTCGGGTCACCCAAACGCCTCCTTCCACCACCTCTTTAAATCAAAACCCACAGAGGAACGAAGCGACCGTATGTTACATACGCACGCCCTCTCCCTCCTACTGCTGGCTCTCGTCTTCCACAAAACGATCTGCCGGGTGTTTATGTCACCTCTAAACGAGATGAGAAGTCCCCGCCGGGGGCAGGTCCTGCCATTTCTGTCTGTCCTGTGCCACACACACCTACACAGCTGTATGGATCCGAAACACAAATGATAACCTCTGCCCAGAGGTTATCAGCAAGGTGACTTTGCTGCTGCGAGACCTTCAGACTGAGCAAAATGAAACATTTTTCTGTGTTTCTGGTAGGCACTCCAACACGCTGGCTTCTGGGGAGACGCAAACTCCTCCGAGCCGAATCCGAATCGTACCCTTCTCCTCTGGAGCACCGGCTGACAAGGGCTCAGCCAAGCGTATTGCTCGGCTGCATGAAAGGAGCTCTCTTTCTCAAAGCGAAGTTACTCCAAAGACTTTCTGCTTTATGAGAAAAAGACAAAGTCTAATTCATTGATCTTGATACACAAAACCGTCACGTCACTTCATAGAGCACACACCAACTGCTGAATTTAAGCCCTGCATATTCATAAAAATAAGTTAGCCCATAAATTAAATGTTCCCTTTAGCTATCACTAGTGTTGATGTGCTATAAGACGCACAAGCCCTCTGATTCATGACTAACCTACCAAAGAAGATAACATTTGCATATGATTATATTATTAAAAAAACAACAACAAAGCCAAATGCTCCAAAACGAAAATGTGATGATTTCAGACAAAAGAGCGCAGCGTGGTCCTGTCGGGACACTGGCCGCCTCACTCCCCCTGGGTGGGTCTGCCATTCCCCGAAGGGCAGCGGGGCGCGTGCTGGGGACACAGGATTCCTCGGGGCTCTGGCTCCAGCCTTGTGGCTTGTCCCCATACACAAGGTGCAGAGGGCACAGCCCAAACGCTGAACTTCGAGGCCTTACCACGGGGCTGCAACACATTCAGGCACATTTCTGGAGCACCAGGGCCAGCTAAGCTGTGGTGTGGGCACACTGAAGAAACTAGGACAAAGATATTTTCTCAAAACTCCTCACACCTGGTTGTAAAGAACGAGTAGACCTCATTGATGCTCCCAGGTCCATGGACCCCAAGTCCACATATCTTGCCTGCTGCACACACACATTACCAATGCTCGCTGGCATCCCTCAGAGGATGTCCATCCCTCAGAGGACAATTTGCACGTAGTCTGGGGGCACGGGGTGACGGACGGCTGTGGAGGGTGCATCCGGGGGGATGCGTGGTGGACGCCACACATCCACCGGGACGTCAGCAGGGAAGGGACCAGGGCTCCCATGGAGGTGCGTCACAGCCCCGCTGCCTGCTGCGCGGTGTGACCTGGCTAACAGCAGAGGAGATGCAAATAGAAGCTCTTTAGATTGCTATCAGAGCCCAGTAACAGCAAGTAGATACCGTATTTGCACGGCCAGGAATTTAATCCCTCTTTCAGGTTAGTTTTCCTGTTCCCCTTCTGTCTTTCACAGCCGCCGTCATTGCTAGGTGCTAGCCTGGGTAGGATGAGGTGGGCCGTGGGCTGGCTGGGATGCTCCTGGACAGGCATTAGAGGAGCTGAGGCACGCCAAGGGGTGGACTTCCATGGCTGCCCATGCAACACCCCAACCAGCTCGAGCAAGAAGCCTCCTCGTTCCCCCCCCACCTTTTTTTTTGAATGCAAAAGCATGATCAATAAGTTGCTGAAATAGCAAGTTTGTCTCTGAATACATAAATTGCAAAAATTGATATGAATAAATCTGCAAGTAACACACTGAGTGTGGCACATTTTATCAAAAAAAAAAAGAGCCCTGTGCTGGGTTCCTGCGCTTTCCGGGAGGTGGTGTCATTACACATACCCAGGAACATCTGCAAACCCCCGTCTTCTTTGGTGTGAGCTGAATGGAAGCATGACCTCCTGTTCCTTGCCATGAACCTTGAGTTCACACTCATATTTTACATGTTACAGGAAGCCACAGCTCACTCCAGGGGTGCTGCAAACAGAATCTCGTAAGCCAGATGCAACACTGCTTCTTAAGGCACCTGAAGGAGCTGTATTCTTCATTCAAAAGCTTACATACTAGTAGCTTAAGGTCACTTCAGCTTTTGTAAAGAGTGGGACAAAACCAGGAATGCTTATAGGGCTGGGTTGTCAGCAGGGTAGCAGAGGGATTACAAGGAACCTGTGACTCTGCCTCTTTCTGCCTTTACTGGTAGTTTTTTTGTGTGTGAACAAGTGCCATACAACAGATTGAGGCTGGTATAAAGGCCTGGGACTGTGCAAGAGCACCCCGCTGAGCCTCAGCTGTGCTTGCAATTAGCAATAGGCATGAAATGATTATTGTTGTGGTGGCTGATGGCAATGTGAAGTGACAAGTTTTATGGGGGAAGTTGTAGTAAGGATGTTCAGCAAGTTTCTGCAAACCATTAATCGAAGGCTGCAGCACAGTTTAGTCAAAGCTATTTTATGTCATTCCAAAGGTCTCACAAGGATGCTGAAAGAATATTTTTCTGCTCTCAGTGCCTTGGAATGGAGTTTTTCTAGGTCAGGGATTCTTTACTGCCCTATTTAGTGTCAAAAATACCCATTTGCCTCAAATTAGCAGAAAGCTTGTAGTTAAGGGCTAGAGATTAGGCATACAAAATTACTCAGCAGGTGACTGCTGGGTGGATTTGGGGGTTGAGAAGTCTTTAAAACTGACTACA